GCAACAGAGCAGGCAGGGAGTTTCTTAAATATGTACTGCTTAATGCACAACTGCAAACTGCTGCTCTCCGCCATCAGAAACTACACCTGCCGACACACTGCAAACCTCACAGAGTCCCTGCTTCTACAGAATTGAGAGCTATAGGAATATATTATGTGTGCCTGTCTTTCTTCCTGAATAACATCTCTTCTCTCTTTGCAAATTTTAACCTTTGTTTGACAGAAACACAGGATTCTCCACTGTACCAAGCTCCTACGAATTTTGTGAAAACGGGCAGCCAGGGAAGCCAGGAGGCCCCCATCCCTGTGCCACGTGCTGCGGCCGCAGCATGACGGGAGCTGACCTCTGAGGATCCATGTGGAAGGAAAGGAATTTGGAGTGGAACAGTCACAGGAAACGTGCAACTCGCTAGACACCACAAACCCCGCAGGAGGAGGAAGCAGAACTTCTTACATTGCAGCCTTGAAGGAATCAGTTATATGTTGTGGGATAGGAGTGAGAAAGGAAGACGGAAGAAGCAGGAAACTTATTTTGAGTTAGAAAAAAATATACAAATAACCCCATTTGTTTGAGAATCATTTTTTTTTCCATAAAGAACTAAGATGAAACTGATCACATCTTCCATGCATTTGTGGCATCAACAACACTGATTTTTGATCATTGATACATTATGACAGAGGGACAGTGAGTGAACGGAAGGACAGGATCCAGGCACTCATCTCAGGTCACTATAAATCACACCAGTTAATCCATGCAGTTGTATGTAGCAACCTACATGCAGGTGCCGCAATACTGACAGAACAGAGCAGTAAGGGGAAAGAGGAGAAGTCTGTGAAGAGGAGTTTCACAGATGTATAGAGAGAGAAGAGAAAAATCTGTTACAATACTTCAAGTTAAAAGCATCTTAGGTTTTTTTTAAGCATCCTTTTTTATTATTGTAAGACAGAGAATGGATAGAAGGCACAGACAGGCAAAGGATTAATACTCAGAACTAGATAACTAGTTACCATCACTCGTAATCAGAATGCCTTTTTTTAAAAAAAAAATCTGCTGCCCAGTATTGACAATGCAGTTCACATATGCCAATTTTTAGATAATAGTAAGGAATACGTGTATGTTGGTTATAGGTTGATCCCATGAGCAGTGGGACCAAAAATGCCTGATTTAAAGCTATTAATCTCACTTTTCAGCTTAGTGAAAGCAGAGGGCAATCGTGCCCAACTGTCAGGAATCAAGGAGGAAAACAACCTCCCTCAGCTGTGGATTCCCCCTGTATCTACCCTTTCCTGAGGAAGCCTCTCCCAAAAGGCAAGTGCACAGCCTTCCAGGCTGATTCCTCTTTTTGGACTGGAAATGTATTTAAACCTGCCAGCTGGGCACAGGCCCCGGGGCTAACTCCCAGCATGTGCTCTTAAATCTGGTACAGAGCCGAGCCAGTCGCTCTTCCAGGTACTTGAGGATTTCCTGTCTCTTGATATAACACCTTTCATTTTCAAAATACAGGCGGGCAGTAAGGTGCTACGTGCAATACTCCCCTGAACCCCACAATATTTACAGCCCTTGCCAGCAAAGTGATCAAGTGTGAATCTGAAATGAAATTAAACTGGTGAATTGAGCACAAAATCCTATTCGCTTCCATTGGTGCTAGATGTTCGTTGTTTTTCTATTAGCCATACTGCTTTCACAAGGGATAAAATTAATACGTAGCCTACTGGCTACTGCAACTCCTAAGGTAAAAGCAGGCTTGCATTCCAAACATGATGCACTCATAAACATCCGCCTCACGAGATTGCTTTGGAGGAGAGATGATGACACAATTATTATCTATAATCCTGCTACATTTGCTCTGCTGATTTGCCTCAGAGAGAGGGCTGAGACACAAACTCAGTGGAGTTTACAAGGGAGTGTGAACCAGAGGGAAGCCAGGCTCCAAGCAGAGCATCAAACAGGGGGAACTCTGCTAATCCAGGGCTGCTGGTGCTGGTTCTGAGCTGTTCAGAGCACAGCTGCTTCCTGACAAATGAGAAATGACACATCTAGTGCAAGTTCAAAGGGAACAGAGCACTGACATAAGAGCCACTGCACTGTGCAAGCTCCTGT